CACTCACTCACTCACTCACTCACTCACTCACTCACTCACTCACTCACTCACTCACTCACTCACTCACTCACTCACACTCTCACTCACTCACTCACTCACACACACACACACACTCACTCGCACTCACTCACTCACACTAGGGATTATTAGAAGCTACTAGGTTGGATGCCATCGCTACTAGTTGGAGGCCATCGCACGCACGCTCGCTCACCCACACTCCACTCCACTCCACTCCCGATTCCGATTCCGATTCCGCTCCCCTTCATTTCCTTTCCTTTCCATTCCCTTCTTTCTCCATTCCTTCCTTCATTCAATTCAGTTCAACTCAGTTCAACTCAATTCATTTCAGTTCAATTCAACTCAGTACAGTTCAATTTCATTAAATCACGAAAGCTAGCATGCTAGCTGAGTTCTTCTTTGCTTTAGCAATTGGTAGTGGGATGAGCTGTGTGCCTTAAAGCTTGATATATCACGCTAACCACCCCCCCCCCCACGGTTCGACTCCCAGCTGCGCGCCGTGTAGGGGGTTGGTTGGGTGTAAACGGTGGCTTGGTGTAAACGGTGCTGCTGCTGCCGCTCTGCTGCTCGCTGCTGCTGTTTGCTGTTGCCGCTGGTTGCCGCTTTTGTAGCTGCTGCTTTGCTACTTGTTGCGGCTTTGTGCTGCTGCTGCTGTTGCTGACGACGCCGCTGCTGCTGCTGCTGCTTGCTGCTTGCTGCTTGCTGCCGGTGGTGCTGCTGCTGCTGCGGCTTGATGCTGCGCTGCTGCTGCGTGGTGCTGCTGGCTGGCTGCTGGTTGGTGGTTGCTGCTGGCTGCTGGCTGCAGGCGGCTGCTGCTGCTGGCTGCTGCTTGCTGCATAGGACTTGTACTTCACCGATACAAGTTGTTTACCCCTATTTCTAACCTAATGCGTGCATAAGCGGGTGGTAAATTTACCCCCCAGGCGTTCTATAACCATACACCGGCTATTTCCTCAAGACTCTCTATTCTTGATACCTTTTTTCCAGTGCTTATCCTACACTACGGACGCCCTAGTGTATGCACAGTCCT